CATCTTAATCTGCTCCGGTAGGTAAATAAAATGTTTAAAATAACGTTAGCTTTATGTTAGCTTCCGTTTCGCTAATGGTGCATTCGCTTTCTCCTCGGAACTCCGAATCTCCGACTAGAAGAACATGAACGCGCTCTAAAGTTTGGCTTCACTTTACTAAATACGACGGGTGATTGGGTGAAGATGAAACTAGCAACAACGATCTAAGTGTGAGGCATCATCGTTTTAATCTGCTCCAGCAGTTAAATAAAATGTTTAAGATAACATTAGCTTGATATGTTAGCTTCCATTGCCACCATTGTTATCAGCTAATGGTGCGTTCGCTTTCTCCTCGGAAATTCTAACATCTCAGTAGGAAAAATCAAATGAAGAAGGACAGCAAAAGGAATGAAGATACACAGTAAATTTAGTTCACAGTAAAGATGTTTGCTTCAGTTTAATTATCAGCTTATAAAACTACAAGGACGATGTTAAAATACAAACAGTTGTATGTTATTTATCGTGATATTTATCAAATATGGTTATAAATTGAGAAAAATATATATTTTATTATAAAAGAGAATTAAAATATTACACACTCAAAAGTATCGAAAATTGGTACAGTTAAGTACCGGTATCGATTCCTAGGTACCGGGAATTAGTACCGTATCGATTCAAATGTCAAAGGTACTCATCCCTACCACTGTTACACCCTTAAAGTCTTGGATGTTGTGACAAAACTGATTTACTTTTAGAGTCATTCTACCACAAGACTTCCCAGCATCAACATGGCCATAACTCAGGCAATTTTACTGGTATGGGGCTAAAAATAGGTAGGGAGTGATCCCAATTCATGAGCCAACAGTACAGATTTTAACTCCAGATGTGAAGTCACAACAAATTATCTTTTAGATCCTACCAAGATAAAAATGGTCGCCACAGCTAAATGACTTAGACTAACGCAAAACAATTATTTTATAGCTATGATTTCATGTAGTAATAATATTGTGACCCTACTTTGATTTCTAAATAAACCACATTGGGACCTATGCCTGCTGATGACATCACACTATGGCAACACCTCTTGGACAAACTATTGCTAAATAATTCACATGTAAATTGTTGCATGTATTTATCCTTAATACTTCCAATACTTCATTTCTGTATATGTTGATATTTTCTCAATAAACACTGAAATAGCACTCCAATTTATAGGAATCCCCCAAAACTTACTTTTCCAATGTGAGGATATGATTTGAGAGAATACAATTGTATTTATTCATTGTGTGCAGTCTGGGATTATTTATTGGGCCAAATATCTGTTACAAAGGTCTTTGTAAAAGTCAACCACGTTTCCCATGAAGAACAACAACCTGGAACAGATCTGGTTACCTCGGTTACTATGTGCCAACGTAACTCCAACAATGAGTCTGAACCAACCAAAGTCCATCTCCTGTTATTTGTTAAGACCACCAAACTGCATTTGTCCAGTCAAATGGAAAAAAAGACAAAACCCTGGACATTGTCATTAATCATTGACCCCCTAGATGCCCTAGACAGAGAGTAAAATGTAGACATGTCCACAAAAAAAGAGGACATTTGGTCACCCTGTGTTGTAGCTAATAATGGTTCCCAAGCCTTATTTAGAACGCAAACAGATTCTGCAAGATTTTGCCGTATGGCATGACATCATGGGGTCTTTGTCATCATTCATCCAAAACAACTATAATTCTATCATTTGTTTTATCAAAAGAGCAGAAAACAATAAGCATTTCTAAACGGCCTGCCAGGCCTTTCTAAGAGAATCTGGCTGCTTCCTGTTTCAAAGGGCAGATTCACGGTTTTCAGTGGAAATCTGATCTCCGCCTCATCCAATGACTCTGTGATGAGATGGAGTTCTGGCCACGAGCCAGGCACCATCACTGGAACTGTCGGGGCTTAAGAAGAGCAACATCTGGTGCAAAAGCCTGAGACCAGAAGAATAGAGGGTGCTGTAAACACACATCAACACTCATTCGATGGGAGCTGCTTGGCCACATGTGGTTAAAACGTTCAGGTTTGCTTAAGTTATCAAGAAGAATCAACTTTAACAGCTGGGCCTTTGCTCAGTAAGCTTCACATGATTCACCAAGCTCCGACTTGTTTTGGTGGAGAGGCAGCGTGTCACAAGGTGTCTTTATGTACATTCATCTGAATCAATAGGGACTGATAGAGGAACTACGAGGAACACACACTTGGAACACAAAGACTCACGAAGGCAAAACTATGCATCAAAACAAAACTTATCGGAAAGTCTGGATCCGACATTTTCCTTTGAATCCAGAGTCTACGGTAAACACTTGTGTGGTCTTTTCTTGTTGCCAACGAGGGCAGGTGAGGAGGAGGCAGAGAAAGAAAACCAGAGTGAGAAAGAGAGACTAGGAGAAATGGAAAAAGGAAAAAGAAAGCTAAAACTTTAACACTTGAAAGTTGAATAAAAAGAAATTTCCTATGATCAACAAGGAAATAAAATCGTAGAATATCTGAGAAATGGCATAAAAATGAGTGTAAGAATGAGACAGAAAGGGAGGGAGGGTACAGAAAAGCAGTGCCCCCTCCTCAGTCTGCCTCGCCAGCTGTTAAATTCCTCCATTGTCTTTTACTCACCCTCTGTTGCCTCACTTTGCTGTGACAGTACACACACACACACACACACACACACACACACACACGCACACACACACACACGTACACGCACACGCACACGCACACACACACACACACACACACACACCGGCTGGAAAAACTTCTGGCCCACTCTGAAACAACAGATCAGGGGTCAGCTGGCAGACCTTAAGTCTTTCCGTTGCAGATTCTGTTCAGAGGTTATCGAAGTGTCCATGACTACTTAAAGCTGCAACGGCAAATATGCAAAACAAGCTAGCTTAAAACGTTTGATCTTAACAAAGTTCTAACATAGTACAGCTATAAATATGTAGTGGAGATTTAAAAAACGGTTCGAAACCAACGATTGGACCATCCAATGGAACAGCTGCACTTCCGCATTAACCTGGGTCCTCCACTCATTATGCACTCACGCATTTTGGAACAGAACACCACTGGTGTGAGAGGTTTTCCACTCAGTAATAACAGAGAAGGAGAAACAGGCAGCTGCTACCACTTTTCAGTAAATGCCTGGAAATCATGGTGGTGCAGAGGGAGCCTAAGTCACGCTCATCTACTTCCGGACCACGGGTCTCCGGAAGAACGACAATGGGGCTAAAAACTTTATTTTCTAATTCTGCTTGTTTTGTGCCATGGATTTCACATACGATGCCCGTGAATTTTAAAGACACATGTTGATACCAAGAACGCACTTACTTTTGAACGGGGGAGAGCCATTTTAGGTTTTGTGTGAAAATAAGTCCAGGACTACAAATGTGCTTCACGGAAGTGATGCCATCGAACCAGACACGGAGAAAACTGAGGGAAAAGGGCTGTAAGTTCAGCAAACTTCCCACCGGAGGAAAGAACCACCATACATCTGGTCATTTGGTAAGTAGCAGCTACGCTAGGGGAGAGGGGAGTATGTGGTGACGTCACACATGCAACGTGCTGATTTCTGGTTTGTAGTCATGCTAATTAGGAACTTTTACAAGCTGATAAATCTCAAAGTACGTGACTGGCGTGGTCGAAACACCCATCATTAGTTTTCTTTTAAATTGCAATGCAACATATGTGTCATCCAGGGTTTAACGCAAAGCGGATTAGAAAATAGCGTTTTTAGCCCCTTTGACTTGCTTTCATTTTTTCGTTCTTCTGGGGACCCGTGAGCCGGCCGGAAAGGGAGGAGACTTAGGTTCCCTATTCACTTTTAAATACATTAAAATATTTGTTGTTCTTGCATGAAACCTGGCAGTGAAAAACAACAAAAATGTATTCAAATGTAAACATAGAAAAGCATAATTTGGGCTTAAACTGCGGTGTGAGCCATCCTTCATTTAGGTTGTGAATGAAGAGCTATTAGCCAAAGCCACAAGGAGTCTCTCTAGAGCAGTGATGCCTGTACCTTTACAGAAAATTCAAATGATCATAATCACATGACTCTTCCCAAGATCACATGACATGCTGCCAAGAATTTATCCTTTCTTCCGAGATGGAAAAGCTCATGACTTTTTGCTTCCATGGAAATGAGACACACAACGTCCCACATTAACAGTTCAGACCTTCCCCAGCTATTTATATGCTGTCTGCCTTGATTCACACTCACAACAAATAAATCCTCCCAAAGCACTTTTTTTTCCCTTAACCAGTGAGCCATTAACACAGAGCAAAGGAAACAGAATCAGTCATTTGAGAAAAGTGTTAGACTTTGGCTTCTCTTTCACTAAATCAAACGTGATGATCTGTAATTTCGATGACTGTCAAAATAAGGAGGTCTGTGCATTCTGAGACTTCTAATCAGAAGGAGTTTTAGAATTGTTTTTGCTTTCCTGTAACTTAAAAAAAACTAAACGTCTCATGTATTTCCATGCCTTTTATCTCTATTTCCGTTTTATGCTAGTTAGCTGCGTTTTCATTTGAGTTCTGTAAGAAAACGATCCATTTTTCCAGTTTTTTTTTTCTTTTCCGTGAATATCTCTAGCCCTCTGGTTTGAACTTTTCTTCCTGTCACTGTTTTCCTTTCCCACAGGCTGTGTTCTCACAGCTGCACGGTGGGCAAAACTATCAAATGTCTCCATATGCTCAGACCTGTTTCCATCTGGAGCTAGAGACACACAAACTGAAGAATGCAGAAACAAGTTGAGGGGAAAAAATGCTTAAAAGAAACACTTTTCAGTATAGAAAAGAAAGTACAAACAATAAAGCTGTAAATTTAAAGGTGGCACAAAGAAATAAACAAAAAAATAAAAAAAATCTAATGAAACAATGGAACGATTATCTTCTCAGTGCACTTTTCAGTTTGTGTTTATGCAGATCACGTTTTCTGTGCTTCTGAATGAAAGAGCCACGTCTTATAAGCCTGTTTTATAAAACAATGGCGCTGATTAGCTGCAAAGCTGAGGCATCAGGGAGCCTTTGGTCAGTCTGTGGCGGTAATATGTAGCGATCATGTGCTTTCACAGAAGATTACAAGATGGCGGTGTAAAGGGGGTGTGGGGGCGCTCCTTAAGTCTTTTTCACAAGCCTCTTCAATAGGCGGCTGTCCTTCACCGTCCCTGTGAACTGTCTGGTGATCTGTGCTTCAGCTCTAAGGACCAGAAGGTCCAGGACCTCTGTATCGCTCCAGTTAGCCATCTCAGCTGATTCTGTGTGATATATAAGTAACAAGTGCCCTTGTTTACTTTCATTTTCAATGTTGTTCCCCGCTAGAACATTCCACATGTAAGCATGACACCTCCATCATGATCTTCATTCAGAAGTCCTCCACAGTGGTTATATTACTATCACGCTTGGTGGCACAAAAGCCGCAACATTCCCGCACCACCATGCCGCCACAATGCTTTCATGACACACCATGTCGGCAGTATGACGCTGATTTTTTCACCATGGTGTGTCTTGTGAAAGAGGCTATGCTTTGTTACCAAATCACTAACACTCTAACCCCCATAGTAGCAAATAGAGGGGTGTATTGGCAAAAATTAGGCAATACGATATATTGCGATACTGAAAGACAGATGATATTTGCTATTTTTGAAACAATATAAAACTGGAGAACTCAAGTCAGACTCTTCCAAGAAACATCCAGAGTTATCATGAGAGGGAGACGGTGTGGAGGAAGTGCTCCACCTAGCAGATGGTGTTTGAGTTGCACCACACAAAGAAATACAGTAAATGTTTGTACATAAAGTCTCAATAAAAAACTGATACACTGCTTTTAAATGTCAAATCATTATCATTATTGCAATATTTCTGTATAACGATATTTTCTTACATCAAGAGAGTAGACGTGATTGTTGCTGCCCCATTAAGGGATAATTAAGATCATTTCTATTCTATTAAGATAGAAATAAATATACCATACCATGTTTTTTATAAAGCACATTTAAAAACAGCATGAGCGCTGACCAAAGTGCAGTACCGTATTAACCCTCTGGAGGCAGGCGTTGCAGATTTGCAACGTTAAAACCTACCTACCTGGTTACTCCACACACGTATTTCATGAGCATGTTTTAACTCAGAAGTACTCCTGAAGGACTTAGTTGAAAAACAAGATAAAAATTCAGATAAAAGAGATTAAAAAAATTAAAAGAACATACTAGAGTTAAAAATAAGGCCACGACTAAAAGCATAAAAGGTTAGCCCATGTCAGCAGGCAAAATACCACAGAGGAAAACACTAGATGCCCTATCATAGCTCAAAAGCTAAATTATAAAAATAAGCCTTCAGTTAAATACAGGGATCACTGACACATTATCAACCAACAGCATATTATTGCACCAAATGCATTTAGAAAAAAATACAAAGAAGACATTTTATGTTTATTTTTTTATATTGTGGACGTTAAAGGCAGACTTTGCAGTTTTGGCTTGCTTTTAGCGCTCCCTAGTGTCTAGTTATTCAAACCAAAATTGAGTCTCCTCGCAGCGAATTTGTCTTTTTAACACTTTAACTGCTGAAATGTCTCATCAGTCTTCATTAGTTTTTACAGGAATGATTCATCACTAAATGAAACAAACCAGCTGTGTTCATGATCTAAAACATTTTTTCTGAGTCCAGCAGGAGGCAGCCTGCCACCCTGAAGTTGCAAGTACGATATTCTGGCCAAAGGGGGCGGTGAGGGTGACATTTCATTAACCCTGAAAAGGTCATATTAGCACATACTAACTCAAGAAGATTATTTAAAATATGATCAGGTTGCATAGTACCCCTTTAAAGACAATTTGCTGGGTTGATAAAAACAAATGATTAAAAAAAACAGTTTTACCTTAGAAGGAACTCGAGCTGTCAGCAGGTATGCTCGATGTGACGCCAACGCCTGCAAAGAAACACAATTCTGATATATTTCAAATAATTACATAGATTAGATTTAGAAAGCAAAAACATCAAAATGTCAATACAAAATTGTCAGATAAAAAGTAGAAAACTGCATAAAAAATAAGAAGAAATGCTGTTTTTAATTCCAAACATGAGTAGATCATTCTTATATACAAACACATTTGTTTCCCCCCCCCCCCCACACACACACACACACAGCAGTGTGCTGGCCTCCTGTGAGGCTCTCTCACAGAGCAGGATAATAATATATATTATCTTAGACCACGTGCTGAATCCCAGTTCTGCACATTACCAAGCTGCCAAAATTAGCAACTCATGTTCCATCTGCGTGTTAAATATTTTCTAAGTTGTAGAAGATTACCCATCATTTTTTATACTCAAGTCTAAAAAAGCAGGTGTGGTTTACAGGAGTGTTAAGTCAGCTGTTACATGGTCAGTAACTGATTCTGGAGCCAAGCGAGGTCTCTTCAGGTCACATTTGGACAACACCAGTTATGAAGGCCTCTCAGACATCTCAGATAAAAGACCACATTGTTGGCCTGCCTAAGGGGACAGGACTGTATTAGCTGCCAATATAACACTCAGAACAACTGGTTCCACTTTATAAAAGTTCAAAAACATCCCAGTTCAGGTGGTTTGCAGACATAGAGCTGGTTTCAGAGAGCGAGCAAGTGGTTGAGTCCACGTATGTAAATCAGAAAGCAGAACAAAAAAATAGGAGCTAAAATCCAGTCCAGACTTTTAAGGTGCATTTATTAAAACATGTGAGCTTATTTATCAGTATCCTGTCATGAACAACCCTCCAGCCACCCTTCACTTCCTTATATGTTGCTTTCAAGGACCCAGGCTGTCTGTTATCACTTAAAATACCTTGAGAGAACGTTCTCTAGGGTTGCTGAAGGACATCCTTTGTGCATCAGGGTTTTACTCATTTCCTGGTTTGGTTAAGCACAAGACAAATTTTAAAGAGGGGGTTTCTGTTACTAATAACTGGCAACCTTTGTTTCATGTATTTGTCATAATATCTCATTACTATGAACCTGTACGTTTATAGTATTGACGGAGTTGTTTCAGCTTTAGGGGCTGTAACTTGGATCAGACTGTTTAATTATTATTTATTTATTTGTATTTACCGTGTCCTGTCCAGCTGTGAAGCAATAAGAATGATGTCTGATTGACGAAGACAAGCCTTGCAGTTTTACTCTCACAGGTGGAGTGTTGTAGCTTCTACTATCATGCCACTCCTGATATCAAAACTTTAATAGAAATATTTTCAGTTGTTTTAAAAACCAACGGACACGGAGACAGAAGTGTAAGTGTAGGGGGGAGAGAGAAGGACGGGGTGGGTGAGGGGGGGGATCACAAAATTAAAAATAAATGATGAACAAGAATTTGGTTCTAGACCTGGTTCTAGACCTGCAGAAAGAAAGAAAGAGAGAGAGAGAGAGAGAGAGAGAGAGAGAGAGAGAAGAGGACACACAAAAATACATCAAGACCAAAATATCAATGCGCCAACAACATAAGGACATAGAAAAGTAAAAATCTTTACTGAGAAACACACATAAATAATTCATAGTGCATTTAGTGCCAACCACAGCCACCACACAGGTGATGTGCAGAAAATGCCCAAGTCTGTCCATGTGAGAGCACCATGTGAGCACCTGTGTGTGTACACATGTTTGTATATGTAAGGTTTATCTATAGGAGCATCTAATAGAGAGTGTGAGGGGCCACGGATCTGCCCCTAAAGATGTGCGGAAGATAGAGGAGTTCCAAGCCCTAGAGATCCAAGGATTTCCTCGAGGCGCAGGAACCCCAGGGAGACAGCCGCCAGGAAAGCCCCAACCCTCCTCCGAAGAGGCACACAGAATTACCCCGGGAGTCACAACCAGCAGCCGCCAGAGCCCCGGGAGATAGCAACAGCAAGCCCCCAGGCCCGCCCGCAGCCACCCACCCCCGAGCTGGCCGAGCTCATAACACAGCGGCCCGGGACTCAGGGTGACCAATAGGGCTGCAACAACGAATCGATAAATTCGATGAAAATCGATTACTAAAAGCGTTGGCAACGAATTGCGTCATCGATTCGTTGTGTTGCGCAACTCTTCCAAAAGCCCCCTCCCCTCCCGCCCGCCGTTGCGCGCAGACCGGTGGATAGCTGGCAGTTGTTTGTAAGAGGAACATGGCAGAAGCAGCGAGACCCCAAAAAAGTAAAAACTTCTAAAGTTTGGGAGCATTTTCAGTTAAATCAGGCAAAGACATGCAACGTTTGTAGGTCAGACTTAGCATGGCATGGGGATACTACGGTGATGATGCAGCGTCTTAAACGCAAGCATGTCGGAATCATCAGCGAGGAAGGAGAGAGCTCGGTGTCCGGGTAGGTTAAAAACTTTTCAAAAGTGATTCACCCAAGCCCCGGATTATTACACAGGCTAGACATGCCCTAAGCTCGTTAAAAAAAAGTCTATAAAATTGTAAGCGCAACGCTATTAGATAGGCGGGGGGGGGGGGGGGGGACTCGCGCCGCTGCGAACCAGTTCCGCCGTCACATTCCCGCAGAAACTGGTTGATCACACCGGGGCCAGACTACTAACGTGGCTTTACAACCACAATGTCCTCAGAAGCGAAAACGCTTTTAAAAGGGAGGGAGGAGTCCTAACTGTTGCTGTAGGCGTGTTGTGTGCGTGCAGTTATATACTGGTTAATATATTTTTGGGTTCAGTTGATTTCATGTGGCCTAATGTGAGTCTATTTGGGATCATTGGAATGATCAGCAGCATTTCTTGATGTGACTTTATGGCAGTTGCCCAGGGCATCATCGCAAGGAGGATGGCATTCATTTACTTTTGTTTTATTTGGTATTTTTCAGTCATTTTTGGAAATAGTGATTAATTTTGATTAATTCACAGCCTATGTTTAATTACATTTAAAAATTAGTTGTTTGACATCCCCAATTATAATAAATGTCTACAGATGAGATCAAACAAAACAGATGAGAATTGCCCTTAAAGAGCAAGTCACCCCCAAATAAACTTTTTTTTGCTGATAAACTAAGTAAACGAGTGTCTAATCGTGCTGCAGACACGTGTTGTCAATAATTTGGCACTTCAGTGCATCTTGGTTAAAATTTAAATATTCTGCCTAAAACTGGCAGTGTTGTGCCGTTGTCAGGTAAAAACTCTGCACTGTATTTTAATTTAAATCTGCCACCGCTATTGGCTAAGAAGTATGCTATGATGTAAACTGGTACATTATGATGTCACAATGCTGTCGTGAGCCTGAGTGTGTGTGTATTTGTTAGCGGCTCCGCCCTCTCGGTCTGCCAGGCAACAGCATAGGTTGCATTTTTCAAACATGAAGCGGGAGTGGAGTTAGACTCTGGTAGGGGTTGACTTGCTCTTTAAGCTGTTTAACTTGGACCAAGCATTTTAGGTCACAGATAGATGTAGCTTAGGGTCTCTGTCTATACACCTTATAAGACAATTTAGGTGATGGCCTGTTGTTTTTCTGCTATTGAACTGTTTTCTAATAATGTTGTGTTCAATAAAGTGAAGGAAGGGGAAAAATAACGTTTCCCTAGCAGTTTTTAAAAATGTCCCTATGTAATCCGATTAATCGATTAATCGTGCCGAGACCCCATCCGATTAATCGATTATCCAAATAATCGTTTGTTGCAGCCCTAGTGGCCAACCCCACCAGGACCCAACAGAGCCCAGGGATTGCAACCCCACCAGGTAGCCACTGGGAGCGACTTGACAGATCCCAAAAATGTCCCGCCCCCAACACTGGAGCTTCGGATATGCAGGCAGACCAAGGCACCACCCACCGGCAGGAAAAGTGGCAGAGGTCAGGAATCTGACTGATAAAAAAATAGTCAAAAACTTATGTAATAATGCCTCAGATTAAAAAATGTTTGTCTTCTAACAAAGTGGTTCCCAACCTTTTCCCCTTGAGGACACCCATACCTATGTCCAGAACAAGCAAAGGACACCCAACTTAAATTCCTCCAAGCCACATTAAAACATTAAAAGTTTTTAACGACAAACTTTATACAAACATACACTGCAAAAACGTATTTCTAAGGAAGTCGTCATCGTCGTCTTCCTCCGCTTATCCAGGTCTGGGTCGCGGGGGCAGCATTCCAACTAGGAAGCTCCAGACCGTCCTCTCCCCGGCCACGTCCACCAGGTCCTCCGGCAGGACCCCAAGGCGTTCCCGGACCAGATTGGAGATGTAACCTTTCCAACGTGTCCTGGGTCGACCCGGGGGTCTCCTGCCGGCAGGACATGCCCGAAACACCTCCCCAGGGAGGCGTCCAGGAGGCATCCTGACCAGATGCCCAAACCACCTCAACTGACTCCTTTCAATCCGGAGGAGCAGCGGTTCTACTCCGAGTCCCTCACGAATGTCTGAGCTCCTCACCCTATCTCTAAGGCTGAGCCCGGCCACCCTACGGAGGAAACTCATTTCAGCCGCTTGTATCTGCGATCTTGTTCTTTCGGTCATTATCCAAAGCTAGTGACCATAGGTGAGAATTGGGACGTAGAACGACGGGTAAATTGAGAGCCTGGCTTTCTGGCTCAGCTCCCTCTTCACCACGACAAATCGGCTCAGCGTCCGCATCACTGCAGACGCCAAACCAATCCGCCTGTCGATCTCCCGATCCCTCCAACCCTCACTTGTGAACAAGACCCCAAGATAATTAAACTCCTCCACTTGAGGTAGGACCTCTCTCCCAACCCGGAGCTGGCAAGCCACCCTTTTCCGGTCGAGAACCATGGTCTCAGATTTGGAGGTGCTGATCCTCATCCCAGCTGCTTCACACTCAGCCATGAACCTACCCAGCAAGAGCTGAAGGTCAGAGCTAGATGAAGCTAGGAGAACCACATCATCCGCAAAAAGCAGAGACGAGATTCTCCTGCCACCAAACTCGACACAATCCACACCACAGCTGCACCTAGAAATTCTGTCCATAAAGGTAAT